AGAGAGAATGCTGAGTTGCATCCAAAGAACACCATACCTACTGTGAAGCATGGGGGGTGGCAACATCATGCTTTGGGGCTGTTTCTCCGCAAAGGGACCAGGACGACTGATTCATGTACAGGACAGAATGAATGGGGCCATGTATCGTGAGATTTTGAGTGCAAACCTCCTTCCATCAGCAAGGCCATTGAAGATGAAACGTGGCTGGGTCTTCCAACATGACAATGATCCCAAACATACCGCCCGGGCAACGAAGGAGTGGCTTCGTAAGAAGCATTTCAAGGTCCTGGAGTGGCCTAGCCATCTCCAGATCTCAACCTCATAGAAAACCTTTGGAGGGAGTTTGAAAGTCCGTGTTGCCCAGCGACAGCCCCAAAACATCACTGCTCTAGAGGAGATCTGCATGGAGGAGGAGATCTGCATGGAGGATGGGCCAACATACCAGCAACAGTGTGTGCCAACCTTGTGAGGACTTCCAGGAAACGTCTGACCTCTGTCATTGCCCAACAAAGGATATATAACAAAAGTATTGACATGAACTTTTGATATTCACCAAATACTTATTTTCCACCGTAATTTGCAAATAGATTCTTTCCAGATCAGCCAATGTGATTGTCTGGATTTGTTTTCCTCATTTTGTCTCTCATAGTTGAGGTCTCCCTATGATGCCAATTACAGGCCTCTCTCATCTTTGTAAGTGGGAGAACTTGCACAATTGGTGGCGGACTAAATACTTTTTTGCCCCACTGTATATATATATATATAAAAATAATAAAAAATATATACATTGTGTGTGTGTATATATACACACTTGCCTTGCTCTCTGAAAAGTGATCCATATTTGGAGCCCCGCGCGGCCACGCTATTTTTTGAAAACTGGCAGCTAGTATGGGGAACTTCCTGTACTTCGGTCACAGGGAAGGGGGGTGGCTGTAGGATCGGGAACATGTTACACCTCCCACCCTAAAAAAACAGGCCAAACATGTAACATGTTCCCAGAGGCGAGCTTACCCTTTAACGTGGCTGTGAAGTAAATGACAGACAGGATTCAGCTCCAATCCCCGCCCATCAGTCACGTTCCTCTGACATGTTTCACTCACATTGGGCGTATTCATAGAGCGCATCACTGTGCTGCTTCTCCATTCACTAACCAGTCTCAGGCAGGGTGTGGCTTCAGGGTGACATGGAGTCAGAGGAAGTGGGTTGGAGGATGCTGGCCATCAGACTGAGGACACCGAGTGGCTGAGAAAAGTACTGCGAGGGAAATCTCTTGTTGAAAGACGAACATTGCTGTTTCTATCATTGAATGGGATATTCATTATTATCTCGTTGTTTTTAGTTAGCATTGTTCAGACGGGGAAAATTGACGGATGTGGCGGATCTAACCTGACTTGGGAAATTCAGCGACACCTGGAAATGACTTCAGCGAGAATATATAAACAGCGTCTGATTCTATGTGTTATTCTGGGCTGAAGGATTTTTTTTTTAGCCTGACATTTACATTTTTCAGCCCATTGATGCAAGTAATATTTGTAGTAGACAACAGTACAGACATTTCTACTCCACAGCTTTGCTCCATTACGCCATTAATTCAGCAGCTTGCAGCCGAGGCTGCGTAACCCAGTATCCAGGCAACCCGCGCACACGGATCGTCAAGAAGTAGAGGCGATCATATCTATCAGGGGCTGAATCTTAAAATATCAGCCTTCCGTCATAGAGAGAGGTCTGCGCATGCGTTGCTGCGCCACCTTTCTCTCTTTATTATGTCGCCTTTCCTTTCCCTTTTCTTCGTTTATTCCATTCTACGGAGTTTGAAAAAAGCAAATCTGCATTTAGAATAAAATATTGTTGTAATTAATGGGAGTTAAAATAATGAGAACGTTTGTAAATAAGCATAAAGAGACCCTGTCACTGACCGGTAACCCTCAGATGTGAAAGATGGACAAAGCACATCCCTCTATAGTGTGCGTTTGTCTCAGTCCAGAGCACTGAGTGTCATTTCTGTCTGCTGCCTCCTTCCTTTGCTATCAGTTTGAGTCACTTCTGGCAAATTCTCTGACACCAAGAGAGGGGAAGGAGTTCCAGCACACAGCCTGTAATTAACAGCCTCAGCTCTGTTCCTGTGTGTTGTGCGAAGGGGGGGAGGGGGGTCTATTCCCTCCAATCAGCTCTGACAATTTTTCCTGACACCCAGGGCTGCTGTTAAAAAACCACGGGGTCCCATACAGGCAACCTGACAGCCCCCCCCCCCCCCCCCCCGAAAAAAAAAATAACCAAAGTTTACTATTCTTCAGGTATGAATGAACACAGTGAGTGATCAGCAGGGCTTTTTTTTAATCAGGAACGCAAGGGAAAGCAGTTCCGACACCTCTAGCACTGAATGGGGAGCTGGAGGTCTATTGATGCTGGTTGCTGGGAGATCTATTGTCACTGGGGGGGATCTGATTTTACACGGGAGTTTATTGTTGCTGGTGGGGATCTATTGTTGCTAGGGGGGTCTTGTGTTCTTAGGGGGTCAATTGCTACTGGGAGGGATCTACGGTTGAGGGAGGGGTGTATTGTTGCTGGCTGCTAGGAGATTTACTGATTTCTTCCTGGTGGGGGTCTATTGTTGCTGGAGGGGTCTATTGTTTCTGGGGGATCTAATGTTTCTGGAGGTCTATTGTTGCTGGGGGATATATTTTGTTGCTGGGGGAGTCTATTGTTTTCTGGGGATCTAATGTTTCTGGGGGTCTATTGTTGCTGGGGGATATTTTGTTGCTAGGAGATTTACTGTTTTGTTCCTGGTGGGTGTCTATTGTTGCGGGGGGGATATATTGTTGCTGGGGGGATCTATTGTTTCTGGGGATCTAATGTTTCTGGGGGTCTATTGTTGTTGGGAGTCTATTGTTGCTGGGGGTCTATTGTTGCTGGGGGATGTATTGTTGCTGGGGGATATATTGTTGCTGGGGGAGTCTATTGTTTCTGGGGGATCTAATATTTCTGGGGGATCTAATGTTTCTGGGGGTCTATTGTTTCTGGGGGATCTATGTTTCTAATGTTTCTGGGGGTCTATTGTTTCTGGGGATCTAATGTTTCTGGGGGTCTATTGTTTCTGGGGATCTAATGTTTCTGGGGGTCTATTGTTTCTGGGGATCTAATGTTTCTGGGGGTCTATTGTTTCTGGGGATCTAATGTTTCTGGGGGTCTATTGTTTCTGGGGATCTAATGTTTCTGGGGGTCTATGGTTTCTGGGGATCTAATGTTTCTGGGGGTCTATTGTTTCTGGGGATATAATGTTTCTGGGGGTTTATTGTTTCTGGGGGTCTATTTTTACTGAGTTATATTTTGTTGCTAGGGGGATCTTATGTTCTCAGGGGGTCAATTGCTACTGGGAGGGATATACTGGTGAGGGAGGGGTCTGTTGTCGGTGGCTGCTAGGAGATTTACTGTATTGTTCCTAGTGGGGGTCTATTGTTCCTGGTGGGGGTCTATTGTTCCTGGTGGGGGTCTATTGTTGCTGGGGGAGTCTATTGTTGATGGGGGAGTCTACTGTTTCTGGAGATCTATTGTTGCTCGGGAATCTATTGTTACTGAGGGATATTTTGTTGCTAGGGGAGCCTTTTTTCATGCATGCAAAGCGTTTTCCATGTATTGAAATGGACCCGGTACACCAGAGCAGTCAGCTCCAGGTTTGGCGTGAAGGAAACAATGGAACGCGCTGCATTATGGGCTCATGATGGGATCCATAGTGACTACAACCAGAAAAGACAGCGAATCTCCACACATACTGCTCTCTCTGCTTCTGCTCTCTCTATTCCTCTCAAAATGACTGAAATTGTAAATTTTTTACTATTTTTCAGTGCATTCTGGGCATTTTTGAAGGTCTCCTGAAGTTATCTTTTAAAAACGCTTCTAAACACAAACGCACATAAACGCGGTATGCAAACGCAGCTAAACTGACGATTTTTGACCTACGTTTTCCAGCAGTCAATTTCCATCGTTCAGAAGAGTTTTCCGAATGCCCTCATAGCAAAGAGTCAAAAATATTTATTTTTTTTCAAAATTGTCGGTCTTATTTTTTTTAATAGCGCAAAAAATTAAAAAATGCACAGGGGTTCAAATACCACCGAAAAAAAGCTCTATTCGTGGGAAAAAAGGATGTAAATTTCATCTGGGTGCGGCGCTGCACGACCGCGCAATCGTCAGTTAAAGTAACGCAGTGCCATAATGCAAAAAATGGCCTGATCGGGAAGGGGGGGAAATCCTCAGGAGGGCGAGTGGTTAAACGTGTGCAAAAAAAAAAAATGCAAAAAAAAGACTCTAGTAGCAAAAGGGGTAAAAAACAAACAAACAAACAAAAAAAACAGATGACATCTAATGGCAGAAAGGAAGTACTGCAGGAGGAAACTTCTGAAGGAAGGTAAGTTTGGCAACCAAAACTACTTTTTTTTTTATTTTTACTGTTCCTGACCATCTTCTGTTTTTTAACTCTCTTTAACCTCCCTAGCGGTCTGATGATGTCAGTATTTCTGTGCTCAAAGCGGTACATTTTTTTTGCATGGAAATATGTTTTTTTTTTATTGTAGGCCTGTAATTCTTAGGAATAACTCACTGAAATCTGTCCGAACAAGAGTCTAGTAAACATCCCGGGGAGGATAAAATTTGAAACATGAAATCATAAATTATAATATAATAAATAATCATAAAAATAATAATACATTTAATTCAATAATATAATCAAACCAAAAACACTGAAATGTGAAATAGAGCGCCAAGTTGGCACATCGCTGAGCTCAGTCGCAGAATCGTTTTCAGTGTCTGATGAGGAATTTCCCCCGCAATCATTATCACTCAATTCTGCAAGTGGTTCTGATTTCCTATCGCTGTTCTCTAGCCGGTCTAAAAACCGCGTCTGACCTAAAGGGACGCTTTTTGGACGCCATGGACGTTTCTCAGTTTCCAGGCAGAAAGAACAGTAAAAATGCAGGCAGGGCGCGGGACAAAGCACTCGGGACAAAATGTATGTGAAATGGTTTGATACAGGAATGTTATACGATGTGATTTTAGTGTATTATGTGTATCTACAATTTTGACATTTTTGAATCTCCCGCCAGTTCTGTCCCCCGTATATCCCAACGTCGCAGGGACCAGGAACCCAGAAGACAGATGCCGGCATCGGCTGGAGGAGATGGCCGGGGACACTGCAGGGGGGACATCGCGGGGGAGCGCAGGACAAGGTAAGAGAAGAAGAGATCCCGGAGAGATTTTTTTTATTGTAGGCCTGTAATTCTTAGGAATAACTCACTGAAATCTGTCCGAACAAGAGTCTAGTAACCACCCCGGGGAGGATAAGATTTGAAACATGAAATAATAAATTATAATATAAAAAATAATCATAAAAAAATAATAATATAATAATACATTTTTATCCAATAATATAATCAAACAAAAAACACTGAAATTTGAAAATATAGCGCCAAGTTCGCAGGACAAGGTAAGTGAAGAAGAGATCCCAGAGCAACGCTGCAGTGTATTCCCGAGTGTAGCTCGGGGGGGTTACCGCTTGTGGTACTGAAAGTTATCCCCGAGCTACACTCGGGAACACCGCCAGTTGCTGAAAAACGTTCTCATTTAACCGGGGGGGGGGTGGGGAGGGGGGGGGGGGGGGAGAGGGGGGTTTAAATCCCTGAATCAGTAACTAAAAGCTGCAAAAGAAAAGGAACATTTGACAATACTTTGACATTTTAACCCCTCGCCTACAGGACACTTCTACCCCCTTCCTGCCTACAGGGCACTTCTACCCCCTTCCTGCCTACAGGGCACTTCTACCCCCTTCCTGCCTACAGGGCACTTCTACCCCCTTCCTGCCTACAGGGCACTTCTCTACCCCCTTCCTGCCTCCGGGCACTTCTACCCCTTCCTGCCTCCCCCGGGCACTTCTACCCCCTTCCTGCCTACAGGACACTTCTACCCCCTTCCTGCCTACAGGACACTTCTACCCCCTTCCTGCCTACAGGGCACTTCTACCCCCTTCCTGCCTACAGGGCACTTCTACCCCCTTCCTGCCTACAGGGCACTTCTACCCCCTTCCTGCCTACAGGGCACTTCTACCCCCCTTCCTGCCTACAGGACACGTCTACCCCCTTCTGCCTACAGGGCACTTCTACCCCCTTCCTGCCTACAGGACACTTCTACCCCCTTCCTGCCTACAGGGCACTTCTACTCCCTTCCTGCCTACAGGGCACTTCTACCCCCTTCCTGCCTACAGGACACTTCTACCCCCTTCCTGCCTACAAGGCACTTCTACCCCCTTCCTGCCTACAAGGCACTTCTACCCCCTTTCTGCCTACAGGGCACTTCTACCCCCTTCCTGCCTTACAGGGCACTTCTAACCCCCTTCCTGCCTACAGGACACTTCTAACCCCCTTCCTGCCTACAGGGCACTTCTAACCCCCTTCCTGCCTACAGGGCACTTTCTACCCCCTTCCTGCCTACAGGACACTTCTACCCCTTCCTGCCTACAGGACACGTCTAACCCCTTCCTGCCTACAGGACACTTCTACCCCCTTCCTGCCTACAGGGCACTTCTACCCCCTTCCTGCCCTACAGGGCACTTCTACCCCCTTCCTGCCTACAGGACACTTCTACCCCTTCCTGCCTACAGGGCACTTCTACCCCCTTCCTGCCTACAGGGCACTTCTACCCCCTTCCTGCCTACAGGACACTTCTACCCCCTTCCTGCCTACAAGGCACTTCTACCCCTTCCTGCCTACAGGGCACTTCTACCCCCCTTCCTGCCTACAGGGTCACTTCTACCCCCTTCCTGCCTACAGGGCACACTTCTACCCCCTTCCTGCCTACAGGACACTTCTAACCCCTTCCTGCCTACAGGGCACTTCTACCCCTTCCTGCCTACAGGGCACTTCTAACCCTTCCTGCCTACAGGGCACTTCTACCCCCTTCCTGCCTACAGGGCACTTCTACCCCTTCCTGCCTACAGGGCACTTCTACCCCTTCCTGCCTACAGGGCACTTCTACCCCCTTCCTGCCTACAGGGCACTTCTACCCCCTTCCTGCTACGGGCACTTCTACCCCTTCCTTCCTGCCCAGGCCAAATTTTCAGCTTTCAGCGCTGTCGCTGTTTGAATGACAATTGCGCAGTCATGCAACACTGTACCCATATGACCGATTTTTATCTTTTTTTGTGACAGATATAGAGCTTTATTTTGGTGGTATTTAATCACCTCTGTGTTTTTTTATTTTTTTGTTAAACAAACCAAAAACCACTGAAAATTTTGAAAAAAAAAAAGTTTTTTTCTTCTTAGTTTTTGTTATAAAATTTTGTAAATAAGTGATTTATCTCCTTCACTGATGTGTGCGCAATGAGGTTGCAGTGATGGGCACTGATAGGCTGCACTGATGGACACTGATAGGTGGCACTGATGAGCACTGATGAGGAGGCACTGGTAAGTGGCACTGATGGGCATTGACAGGCATCACTGATGGGGATGAAAGGCAGCACTGATACATGGCACTGATATATGGCACTGTTAGGCGGCACTGACTGGCACTGTTAGGTGGCACTGACTGGCACTGTTAGGCGACACTGACTGGCACTGATAGGTGGCACTGACTGGCACACTGATAGGCAGCACTGACTGGCACTGATAGGATGGCACTGAATAGGCAGCATCTGATAGATGGCAGATTGGGCACTGATGACACTGAAAGGCAGCTCAGATGATTGATGTGCACTGGTATGCGGCATTGATGTGGCACTGATGAGCACTGACACATGGCACTGATGGACACTGACAGGTGTCACTGCTGGGGCTACACTGATCATCAGGGCACACTGATCATCAGTGCCCTGATGATCAGTGTAGATGTCCCCTCCGCGGAAAGCCGATTACCGGCTCTCCTCTCTGTCAGCGTGACAGCTCGAGAGGAGAGAAATGCCGATAACCAGCATTTCCGTGTTTACATGTGATCCTGTGATTGGACACAGCTGATCACATGACCGAGCCGACATCTTCGGCTCTTTCCGTAATCGGTGATCCGCTGTGTCCAAGGGACACAGCACACCGCCGATCGCCGCTCTGCGCACGTTCCCTGAGCTGCGCATGCGCGGTGAGAATGGGAGGACGTCATATGACGTCCTCTCAGAACGAGAGAACCACCTTGCGCCCGTCATTGGACTATATGGCAGGTGGGGAGGCGGTTAAGAATTATTCAAAATGGCGGCTTCAAGACTGGAATAAGTATTCTAACAGTAATCCGGACACTGACGGGCTCAGCAGGAACATTTCCCACCCGCCTGCGCCTCTTTTATAGTTTCCTGTTTGCATCCACCGATATATTTAGGCAAGTAAATATTCCCGAGGTCTGCATAATGGGATGGATATGGATACCAATTAAATATAATGAAGCGCGCGTCTCCTATAGCAGTCTCTTCCAAGTTATATATTGGAGACTCGCTGTGCCACTAACGGCAGATCCCTCGTTGTGACATTGCCACTTTCATATGCATTAGAAGACGATCATTTAATCAAAACACGTCTTCAGCGATTTCCATGCTGGTTTGTGAGTCTTCTCACTGACATTATACTCCGCTATAGTACCCCCCCCCCCCCCCCTCCCCCCCCCCCCTCCTTCCAACTTTGCTTTTCTTTTTTTTTTTTCTTCATAATGATGGAAACATTTATCATTTTCACGCTTTTATTTGCCCTCCTCCAACTGTTTTCGTTATTATCATTTATTATCATTTTCAAATCTTCCCAAACGCCAGTGTAAACTGGAATTCATTTCAGATCATTAATAGCGACAGATCAAAATCTGGCAGAAAGGCTTCGCCTCTTCGGGAGGTGCGGATGGTTGGTAGATATATTGAATTAGAAGCAACAGAGTCACTTACAGTTGCTGAAAATCTTCTCATTTAACCGCTTCAGTACCGGCGACTGTTACCCGGCCTCCTGCCCGGGGCTGTTTTCAGCTTTCAGCGCTGTCACAGTTAATGACAATTGTGCGGTCATGCAACATGCACTCATGCACCCGAGCAACATTTTTATCATTTTGTTCACGCAGCTAGAGCTTTATTTTGGTGGTATTTAACCCCTTGACGCCGACGTCACACAAATATGCGGCCTCACAGAACGGGGATTTTTTCTGTGGGGCCGCATATATGCGTACTTGTCATTGTGCTGGGAGCACAGCGCACGGCGCACTCACAGCGCAAAGACCGCGGTGTCACTGAGAGCCCCAGGTCCTGTTCTAACAATCGGGACCCAGAACTCCCGATTCTGGGTCACGTGATCACTGTGATAGCCTCTGATTGGCTATCACAGTGATCAGTCACTCTATAAATGGAGTGTTCAGTCTTCTCTCTATGAATGGAGGAGAGAAATACATTGTATCTCTCTAACTCCTGGCATAGAAGGAAAAAAAAAGGATAAATAAATATTAAAAAATAAAGAAATAATACCTAGATAAAGGTTTGATGTAGTTCAGTGCCGGGGTAAGTGTTTGGGTCAAGGTCAGGGTCAAAGGTCAAAAGCCGTCGCGGGGAAGAAGAAGGAAGGACAACTCCGCAGAAGTGGAAGCGGGTACCTGTCAAATTCAGGTACCCGTTCCCCCTCCCTCCCCAAAGGTCTGCAGTCTCTGGTCATCCCCTGTACTGTGTCCGCAGTCTCTGGTCATCTCCTGTACCGTGTCCGCAGTCTCTGGTCATCCCCTGTACTGTGTCCGCAGTCTCTGGTCATCTCCTGTACCGTGTCCGCAGTCTCTGGTCATCCCCTGTACTATGTGTCCGCAGTCCCCTGTACTATGTCCGCAGTCTCTGGTCATCTCCTGTACTGTGTCCGCAGTCTCTGGTCATCCCCTGTACTATGTCTGCAGTCTCTGGTCATCTCCTGTACTGTGTCCGCAGTCTCTGGTCATCCCCTGTACTATGTCCGCAGTCTCTGGTCATCTCCTGTACTGTGTCCGCAGTCTCTGGTCATCTCCTGTACTGTGTCCGCAGTCTCTGGTCATCTCCTGTACTATGTCCGCAGTCTCTGGTCATCTCCTGTACTATGTCTGCAGTCTCTGGTCATCTCCTGTACTATGTCTGCAGTCTCTGGTCATCTCCTGTACTAATCTCCTGTACTATGTCTGCAGTCTCTGGTCATCTCCTGTACTATGTCTGCAGTCTCTGGTCATCTCCTGTACTGTGTCCGCAGTCTCTGGTCATCTCCTGTACTGTCCGCAGTCTCTGTGTCTGCAGTCTCTGGTCATCTCCTGTACCGTTGTCCGCAGTCTCTGGTCATCCCCTGTACTATGTCTGCAGTCTCTGGTCATCTCCTGTACTGTGTCCGCAGTCTCTGGTCATCTCCTGTACTATGTCCACAGTCTCTAGTCATCCCCTGTACTATGTCCACAGTCTCTAGTCATCCCCTGTACCGTGTCCGCAGTCTCTGGTCATTCCCTGTACTGTCTGCAGTCTCTGGTCATCACGGACGGAGCCTGCTCAGTTTACACGGATACGATCCCCCGCAGGATTGATGGGATCTGCGGATTGGGGAGCATAATGGATCGGATCTATCCTGCGGGGATCGTCGGGGGGGGTGTCACCAAGTGTTACCGCACCGGGGTGACACCAACCCTAGGGACGCCCTGGGCTCAGGTAAGTATTGAGGGGGCTGGGGGCACTGCTGCACACAGAAGGGTTTTCACCGTCATACATGTAGGTAATAAACCGTGAGCCTTTACAACTACTTTCACGTCAGCTAGAGGCAAGGCAGCCATATTGTGTTCAGCATCCACTCATTCATTCCATCAGTCCATCAGGCTGCAGCGACATGTCTTTTCTTGCAGCAATATTATGTGTCATTACAGGGAGGTAAAGCGTATGACTTTACCTTTTCTTTTTTTTTTCTTTCCAAACGTACAGCTGAATGCAAACTTGCTGTGACTACTGTAAACTAGCGGGATATTTTATGTGTTCTTGCAAACTTTAAAAAAAAAAACGCACTGAAAAGCATTCTTATTACCGTCTGTCAGTTCTGTGATTTACAATGGCAATAAAAACCGATACCGTTCTCATTTGTCATGAGGTCCAGCTCACCAGGAGCTATTTTCTGAAGCGGTAAAGTCAAGTGATAAAATGAGTTCTTTTGTTCCATAACCAAGACCTATTCCTTACGCCTAAAAGCCTCTCTGCTCAAGATTCAAGGCTTCTAGGTCTGGCTACTAGTGCGCAGTACTTCCCGCGTGGGATGATGAATGGGTGAACTGCATGTGCTACCGGTTTTACCAGCCGGGACAACTGATTGTTTGTCGCAGTTATCATTCATTCCTGGTTGGAGTCGGTTCCATGGTCATATCGGATTGTAAAGGTTTTCAAAACAGATTCACCCAATAACTATAAAAACACTGAATACATTAAAGTGGTAGTAAACTCCGTTTTTTTATTTTCACCGACAGGTAAGCGTATAATAAATCTAACCTGTAGTCCAGGGGGCCTTGAGGTTTCTCCAGGGGGGCCTTGAGGTTTCTTCCAGGGGTGCCTTGAGGTTTCTCCAGGGGGCCTTGAGGTTTCTCCGGGGGGGCCTTGAGGTTTCTCCGGGGGTGCCTTGAGGTTTCTCCAGGGGTGCCTTGAGGTTTCTCCAGGGGGTGCCTTGAAGTCTAAAAATTTCCCCATGGGGTGCCCTTGAGGTTTCTCATTGGGTGCTGGGTTTTCCAGGGCGGGAGCCTGAATGGCTTTGTCTCCAGGGGAGGCCTTGACCCGGTTTCTCCAGGGGGTCCTTGAGGTTTCTCCGAGGGGTGCCTTGGCGCAGGTTTCTCCCGGAGGTAGGTGGGGTGCCTTGTGACAGGTTTTTCCTGGGGTGCCTGGACCCCGCTCCAGGTAAGTTGGTAAAGAAAGCGAAACGATCCCCGCTGGGGCGGATGGGGCAGCCTTGAGGTTTCTCCGATCCATTATGCCTTGACAGTTTCTCCCACGTGGGGGATGCCTTGAGGTTTCTCCATGGTTTGGGGGGGGCCTTGAGGTTTTCTCCAGGGGGACAACTGATTGTTTGGGGAGGTGCCTTGGCAAAAATGTCTAAAAATTGCATCAAAACTTGTATAGTCGGTTCCTAGCAGCGGGTTGGCCCCTGCCCCTCCTCTCCTCATTAAAGTGGTGAAACTGGCTGTGATTAACAGCAGCGGGAGCCAATGGCTTGCTGTCTCAGCGCCTTTCTGAGGGTGCCCAGGCAGCGACCTTGGGACAGGGGGGCCTTGAGGCTTTCTCCAGTCGTTTCACAGGTTGCTCCAGGATCGTGAAGTGAGGCTCAGGCAGTGGCTTGTCCCCATGGGTGGCCTTGAGGTTTCTCCAGGGGGGAGGTGGGGTGCCCTTGAGGTTTCATCATGTGACACTTGAGGTTTCTGCACAGGGTGACACTGGGCACCCGCTCCACGAAAAAAAACTTGTAAGCCAGTTGTAACAAAGCCGGCTTTTGGTTACGACGATCCCCGCAGGATGGATCTGATCCATCAACATGCGGGGTCACTGACGTCCAATGCTTTCTTGATACAACTTACGTTTTCATGGAGCATGTCAACAGTTTGGCACCCCGTCTCCAGCACTGACATTAGCACAGTGTGTGATAGGTTGTGCCGACGATCCCTGAAGATGGATCAGAATTAAAAAGTGCGGATTGGGGAGCATAATGGATCGGGTTGTCCCACGTCCAGGGGGCCTTGAGGTAAGGATTCTCCAGGGGTGCCCTTGAGGTTTCTCTCAGGGGCGCCTTGAGGTTTCTCCAGGGGGGCCTTGAAGTTATCTCCATGGGGTGCCTGAGGTAGGATTCGTCCACTTAGGTGCCTTGAGGTTTTAGACTCCAGGGGTTGCCTTGAGGTTTCTCCAGGCAGGGGCCTTGAAGTTTCTCCAGGGGTGCCTTGAGGTTTCTCCAGGGGTGATCCTTGAGGTTTCAGTCCAGGGGGGCCTTGAGGTTCTCTCCAGGGGTGCTATTGAGTGTTGTCTTCAGGGGGGGGAGCCCTTGAGGTTTCTTCCAGGGGTGCCTTGGCAAAATGTCTCTAAAATTGCCAACGACCTGAGTACTACAAGGCCATGCGGGTGGAATTCAAGTGCCTCTTTGTTACACAAAGCCCCAGGTTTTTCAATGTGTGCACCATACATTTACGGACCTGGTCAAATAGCATTGACAGGTCGTCCAGTGACAACCTTTAAGACGGGTATTCATCAGTTGATAAGGAGGTTCTAAACTGCCTCAGGGACACCCGCAAAATCGTTTATCCCTGCTCCTGGCCCCTGCATTCACATATCTGCTCTCCCCGGACCCCGCATCACATTAGCACAGTGATGGAGAAGGCATCTCAAACATTGGGAATACTAGTCTATATCCGCTGTGTGCAAAAGAACTATGTATTTTGCTCCCAGGAAGAATAAATCGCCTCTAATTTTGGGTTCCTCCTGTCCCCGTTGCCTTATCACTCGCTCAGAGCCGCTGACTATGGCATGTGTAAGATACATAGAGCTGCGGCTCGCCCATGCCCACTCTTGCTCTCTCCTCATTGGCTCCCTGGCAGTTGACACAGCATGGCTCTCCCCGGACCATTGGCTTAGCCAAGGAGGAGGGAGAGCCCCATTCACATTATACCGCGTCCAACGAGCTATTCCTAACTTGCTATCCGCTCTCCCTGGGACCACGCATCACTATATTGCTCTCCCCCGGGGTGGGGCATGCATTCTACGCCTGAAAAACTCTGATGGCCTTAGACCCCGCAAATTTACTTTATTCAGCTCTCCCCGGACCCTAGCATTCACTATATCCGCTCTCAAATACATTTTATACGCCTCATTCACTATATCCTAACTCTCAAGAGGACCCCACATTTCACTATATCCGCTCTCCCGGACCCCACATTCATTATATTTCCTGCATCTACCAGGAATACCCCGCAATTAGTGACTATATCCGCATTTCCCCAGACCCGCATTCACTTATCCGAAGTCTCCCCGGACCACCGCATTCACTATATCCACTCTCCCACAGGACACTGCATTCACTATTTCCGCTCTCCCCGGACCCCGCATTCCACATATCCGCTCTTGACCCCAGACCCCGCATTCACTATACCTGTGCTGGACCCAATTCACATCCGCTCTTCACCAGGACTGCATCATTCAATATATCTGCTCTCCCCGGACGCCTCATTCTACTAGTATCCGCTCTCCCTGCATTCACTATATCCCTCTCCCTGGACGCCTCATTCACTATATCCGCTCTCCACGGACCCGCATTCACTATATCCGCTCTCCCCGGACCCGCATTTCACTATATCCGCTCTCACCGGACCCCGCATTCACTATATCCGCTCTCCCCGGACCCCCATTCACTATATCCGCTCTCCACGGACCCCGCATTCACTATATCCGCTCTCCCCGGACCCGCATTCACTATATCCGCTCTCCCCAGGACCCCGCATTCACTATATCCGCTCTCCCCGGACCCCGCATTCACTATATCCGCTCTCCCCCGGACCCCACCCGCATTTCAAGTATATCCGCTCTCCCCGAGATCCCGCATTCACTATATCCGCTCTCCCCGGACGCCCGCATTCAATATATCCGCTCTCCCGGACCCCGCATTCACTTTTCCGCTCTCCCCGGACCTCCACATTCATACCGATCCGCTCTCCCCGGACCCCGCATTCACTATATCCGCTCTCCCCGGGACCCCACATTTCACTATATCCGCTCTCCCCGGACCCCCGCATTCACTATATCCTCTCCCCGGACCCCGCATTTCCCTATATCCGCTCTCCCGGACCCCGCATTCACTATATCCCGCTCTCCCCGGACCCGCATTCACTATATCCGCTCTCCCCGGACCCCGCATTCACTTATATCGCTCTCCCCGGACCCGCATTCACTATATCCGCTCTCCCGGACCCCGCATTCACTATATCCGCTCTCCCACCAGACGCCCACGACATTCACTATATCCGCTCTCCCCTGGACCCCCCAGCATTTTGCTATATCTGCTCTCCCGGACCCCGCATTCACTATATCCGCTCTCCCCGGACCCCGCATTTCACTATATCCGCTCTCCCCGCGGACCCCGCATTCACTATATCCGCTCTCCCGGACCCGCATTCACTTTATCCGCTCACCCAGGACCCTGCATTCACTATATCGCTCTCCCCAGGACCCCGCATTTCACTATATCCACTCTCCCCGGACCCCGCATTCACTATATCCGCTCTCCCCGGACCCCGCATTTCACTATATCCGCACGCTCTCCCCGGACCCGCATTCACTATATATGCCGCTCTCCCCGGACCCCGCATTCACTATATCCGCTCTCCCCGGACCCCGCATTCACTATATCCGCTCTCCCCGGACCCCGCATTCACTATATCCGCTCTTCCCCGGACCCCGCCTATTCACTATATCTCCGCTTCTCCCGGGACGCCTGCATTCACTATATCCGCTCTCCCGGAACCCGCATTCACTATATCCGCTCTCCCCGGACCCCGCGCATTCACTATATCCGCTCTCCACGGACCCGCATTCACTATATCCGCTCTCCCCGGACCCGCATTCACTATATCGCTCTCTCCCGGACCCCCGCATTCACTATATCCGCTCTCCCCGGACCCCGCCATTCACTATATCGCTCTTCCCGGACCCTGCATTCACTATATCCCGCTCTCCCCCGGACGCCGCATTCACTATATTTGACTCTCCCCGGACCCTCATTCACTATATCCGCTCTCCCCGGACCCCGCATTCACTATTATCCGCTCTCCCCGGACCCCGCATTCACTATATCCGCTCTCCCCGGACCCCGCATTCACTATATCCGCTCTCCCCCGGACGTATTAGCCCGCATTTACTATATCCCGCTCTCCCCGGACCCCGCATTCACTATATCCGACTCTCCCCCCGGACCCTCGATTCACTATATCCGCTCTCCCGGAACCCCGCATTCACTATATCCGCTCTCCCCCGGACCCCGCATTCACTATATCCGCTCTCAACCCGGACCCAGCATTCACTATATCCGCTCTCCCCGGACGCCCGCATTCACTATATCCGCTCTCCCGGACCCTGCATTCAACTATTACCGCTCTCCCCGGACCCCCGCATTCACTATATCCGCTCTCCACCCGGACCCCGCATTCGCACTATATCCGCTCTCCCCGGACCCCGCATTCACTATATCCGCTCTCCACCGGACACCCGCATTCACTATATCCGCTCTCTCCCCGGACCCCGCATTCACTATATCCGCTCTCCCCGGGACCCGCATTCACTATATCCGCTCTCCCCGGACCCCGCATTCACTATATCCTCTCCCCCGGACCCCGCATTCACTATATCCGCTCTCCCCGGACGCCTCATTCACTATATCCGCTCTCCCCCGGACCCCGCATTCACTATATCCGCTCTCCCCGATAGACCCCGCATTCACTATATCCGCTCCCCGGACCCCGCATTCACTATATCCGCTCTCCCGGGACCCCGCATTCACTATATCCGCTCTCCCCGGACCCCGCATTCACTATATCCGCTCTCCCGGACCCCGCATTCACTATCCCGCTCTCCCCGGACCCGCATTCACTATATCCGCTCTCTCCCCGGACCCCGCATTTACTATATCCCGCATTCTCCCCGGACCCCGCATTCACTATATCCGCTCTCCCCGGACCCCGCATTCACTATATCCGCTCTCCCCGGAATCCCCGCATTCACTAATCCGCTCTCCCGGACCCCGCATTCACTATATCCGCTCTCCCCGGACCCCGCATTCACTATATCCGCTCTCCCCGGACCCCGCATTCACTATATCCGCTCTCCCCGGACCCCGCATTCACTATATCCGCTCTCCCCTGACCCCGCATTCACTATATCTGCTCTCCCCCGGACCCCGCATTCACTATATCCGCTCTCCCGGACCCCGCATTCACTATATCCGCTCTCCCCGGACCCCGCATTCACTATATCCGCTCTCCCCGGACCCCGCATTCACTATATCCGCTCACCCCCGGACCCTGCATTCACTATATCCTGCTCTCCCCGACCCCGCATTCACTATATCCGCTCTCCCCGGACCCCGCATTCACTATAATCCGCTCTCCCCGGACCCAGCATTCACTATATCCGCTCCCCCGGACCCCGCATTCACTATATCCGCTCTCCCCGGACCCCGCATTCACTATATCTCCATACTCTCCCCGGACCCCGCATGTACTATATCCCGCTCTCCCCGGACCCCGCATTCACTATATCCAGCTCTCCCCGGACCCCGCATTCACTATATCCGCTCTCCCCGGACCCCGCATTCACTATATCCGCTCTCCCCCGGACCCCGCATTCACTATATCCGCTCTCCCGGACCCCCGCATTCACTATATCCGCTCTCCCCGGACCCCGCATTCACTATATCACTCTCCCGGACCCCACATTCACTATATCCGCCCTCCCCGGACCCCCGCATTCACTATATCTGCTCTCACCCCCGGACCCTGCATTCACTATATCCGCACTCTCCCCGGACCCCGCATTCACTATATCACTGCTTGCTCTTAACCCGGGACCCCGCAAAAGACACTATAAATCCGCTCTCCCCGGACCCCCGCATTCACTATATCCGCTCTCCCCGGACCCCGCATTACTATGTTCCCTCTCCCCGGACCCCCGCATTCACTATATCCGGTCTCCCCGGACCCCGCATTTACTATATCCGCTCTCCCCGGACCCCGCATTTACTATATCCGCTCTCCCCGGACCCCGCCATTCACTATATCCGCTCTCCCCGGACCCCGCATTCACTATATCCAGCTCTCCCCGGACCCCCGCATTTACTATATGCCGCTCTCCCCGGACCCCGCATTCACTATATCCGCTTCCCCGGACCCCGCATTCACTATATCATATACTATAAACCTTCTCAGTATTTCTAGCCATGGAAGGGAGTTTCAGCAAATGTTTGGTCCATTGTAAGACTTGCATGTACTTTAAAACACAGATGGTTTGGATTAAAAAAAAAAAAAAAAATGAAAAGAAAGCGTAGTATGCATTCTTTGTCAGTTCATTATGAGGTTCTGACGTTTGCATAATCTGCAGGGAGCAGTGTGTGAACATGAAGAACGGTAATATCATCTGGCTGAGAAAAACAAGAAGTGTGAAAAAGTAGATCTCTGACGGCATAATGAGAGCACCAGAACCGCACAACGTCTTCCAGGTCTATAGGAAATTGTTGCTGTTTCCTCACGTCGGCTTAAATTGCTGTATATAGTGTTCCTTTCCTCCAATCCGGCATTATCACTTGCACACGGTAACGTGTCTTTTTTAAGAGTTACAACGCACACGCATGCAGTACGCATCCCGACTGAGCCCCAACAGAGTTTCAATTATCTTCCGTGCTATTCAGCGCCGCTTCCTCGCTAACAAGGCCTTTTAAAGCAAGAAGATTGTTTGTTTAAAACTTCCCTGCATCTTACAGTCTAAAAACGACATCAATTAGATATTCCAGACGACTTGGAAACATTTGGCTCTGTTAAGACTAAGAAAATCGGAGCGGTTATGGAGACGCTAATGATATCCTTGTTTTCCAAAAATAATCCATTCACATCCACCGCTTCACGGCCCTGGAATCTATTTTTCATTAATTTGTTTCTTGCTCTGATTTTCTGCCTCCTTGTAACGTCTCCAGAGGGATCCTGAACCTCTCCCTTTCTTCTCGTTTCTGTTTGTTTTTTGGTTATGAGTCGGCATGTACATTGCTCTAGGCCAGGGTGGGGCAAACTTTTTGACTTGAGGGCCGCAATGGGTTCATATATTGGACCCGGGGGCCGACCAGAGTAGATGAATGATGTGTATGTGTCATCCATAGTAAGTATAGTAATATTCCCCCATAGTAAAGCATAGTAATTATTCCCCCATATAGTAATTCATCCCCATATAGTAATTCATCCCCCCTAGTAATTCATCCCCCATATAGTAATTTATCCCCCATATAGTAATTCATCCCCCATAGTAATTCATCCCCCATATAGTAATTCATCCCCCATAGTATATCATCCCCCATTATAGTAATTCATCCCCCCATATAGTAATTCATCCCCCATAGTAATTCATCCCCCACATATAGTAATTCGTCCCCCCATATAGTAATTCAACCCCCATAGTAATTCATCCCCCATATAGTAATTCATCCCCCCATATAGTAATTCATATCCCCCTATAGTATAGTTAATTCATTCCCCCATAGTAATTCATCCCCCATAGTAATTCATCCCCCATATAGTAATTCATCCCCCATATATAGTAATTCATCCCCCATAGTAATTTATCCCCCATATAGTAATTCATCCCCCATAGTAATTCATCACCCCTATAGTAATTCATCCCCCATAGTAATTTCGTCCCTCTAGGCACACTATACATGCCATAGTCCATGGTCCCTATACCAGGGGCTTTCAAACGAAGGGCCGGTGTCCTGTCCTTCAAACTTTAGGAGGGCTGGATTGTGACCAGTGGGGGTAGAGAATGTCCAGGGCCCAGCGTCAGTGAAAATAAACAGGGGGTACTATTCCTCCCATTAATACCCATCATTGGTGTCAGTGGGAGGAATAGTGCCCCATCATTGGTATTAATTGGAGGAATAGTGCCCCATCATTGGTGTCAGTGGAAGGAATAGTGCTCCATCATTGGTATTAATGGGAGGAATAGTGCCCCATCATTGGTGTCAGTGGAAGGAATAGTGCTCCATCATTGGTATTAATGGGAGGAATAGCGCCCATCATCATTGGAAGGAATAGTGTCAGTGGGAGGAATAGTGCCCCATCATTGGTGTCAGTGGGAGGAATAGTGCCCCATCATTGGTATGAATGGGAGGAATAGTGCCCCATCATTGGTATTAATGGGAGGAATAGTGCCCCATCATTGGTGTCCCCATCATTGTGGGAGGAATAGTGCCCCATCATTGGTGTCAGTGGGAGGAATAGTGCCCCATGATTGGTATTAATGGGAGGAATAGTGCCCCATCATTGGTATTAATGGGAGGAATAGTGTCCCATCATTGGTGTCAGTGGGAGGAATAGTGCCCCATCATTGGTATCAGTGAGAGGAATAGTGCCCCATCATTGGTATTAATGGGAGGAATAGTGCCCCATCATTGGTCAGTGGGAGGAATAGTGCCCCATCATTGGTGTCAGTGGGAGGAATAGTGCCCCATCATTGGTATTAATGGGAGGAATAGTGCCCCATCATTGGTGTCAGTGGGAGGAATAGTGCCCCATCATTGGTATTAATGGGAGGAATAGTGCCCCATCATTGGAGTCAGTGGGAGGAATAGTGCCCCATCATTGGTGTCAGTGGGAGGAATAGTGCCCCATCATTGGTATTAATGGGAGGAATAGTGCCCCATCATTGGTATTAATGGGAGGAATAGTGCCCCATCATTGGTATCAATGGGAGGAATAGTGTCCCATCATTGGTGTCAGTGGGAGGAATAGTGCCCCATCATTGGTATCAGTGGGAGGAATAGTGCCCCATCATTGGTATCAGTGAGAGGAATAGTGCCCCATCATTGGTGTCAGTCGGAGGAATAGTGCCCCATCATTGGTATTAATGGGAGGAATAGTGCCCCATCATTGGTATTAATGGGAGGAATAGTGCCCCATCATTGGTGTCAGTGGGAGGAATAGTGCCCCATCATTGGTATTAATGGGAGGAATAGTGTCCCATCATTGGTATTAATGGGAGGAATAGTGCCCCATCATTGGTATTAATGGGAGGAATAGTGCCCCATCATTGGAGTCAGTGGGAGGAATAGTGCCCCATCATTGGTGTCAGTGGGAGGAATAGTGCCCCATCATTGGTGTCAGTGGGAGGAATAGTGCCCCATCTTTGGTGTCAGTGGGAGGAATAGTGCCCCATCATTGGTATTAATGGGAGGAATAGTGCCCCATCATTGGTATTAATGGGAGGAATAGTGCCCCATCATTGGTATCAGTGGGAGGAATAGTGTCCCATTGTTAGTGTCAGTGGGAGGAATAGTGTCCCATCATCAATGGTGTCAGTGGGAGGAATAGTGCCCCATCATTGGTATTAATGGGAGGAATGGTGCCCCATCATGGGTATCAGTGTAAGAAATAGTGTCCCATTGATGGTGTCAGTGGGAGGAATAGTACCCCATCATTGGTATTAGTCTAAGAAATAGTGTCCCATTGATGGTGTCAGTGGGAGGAATGGTACCTCATATCATTGGGAGGAATAGTACCCCATCATTGGTATTAGTCTAAGAAATAGTGTCCCATTGATGGTGTCAGTGGGAGGAATAGTACCTCATATCAGTGGGAGGAATAGTGCCCCATCATGGGTATCAGTGTCAGAAATAGTGTCCCATTGTTGGTGTCAGTGGGAGGAATAGTACCCCATCATTGGTATTAGTCTAAGAAATAGTGTCCCATTGATGGTGTCAGTGGGAGGAATGGTACCTCATATCATTGGGAGGAATAGTGCCCAATCATTGGTATCAGTGTATAAAATAGTGTCCCATTGATGGTGTCATTGGGAGCAATAGTGCCCCAAGGGCTGGATAAAGTATAGCAAAGGGTCACATCCGGCCCTTGGGTGGCAGTTTGGAGACCCCTGCCCTATACCATCTTAGGTGCATGCAAGAGAGGGGTGTCTATTACCTACATACAGGGGGACCGTGGAGAACAAACGTAGTCACCCTCTAACAGGAAGTCAGATCACAACAGCAAAAAATAGGAATTTGGAAGATTTGGAGGAGTGCGATAGAAAGGACTTAGGTACCACAGTGAGTATAACAAACATACTTTACTTCATATACAGGCTGATTGTACTGTTGTGGGTTCAGTAACACTTTAGTACCCGGTCACGCCGGTGCGATTTCAGGTGCGATTTGCGTATTGAAATCACATCTAATGAATGTGAATGTCAGAGTCTTAACACGTGCGATTTTCTGAAGCGCGATTCTAAAGTAGTTCTTGCCAGTGGCGTCCCAAGGCAGGTGCGGGGGATGCGGCCCACACCGGGTGACACCGACCACACGGGGGTGACACCGGACCGGCTCCACAAAAAGGTAAGTTGTAAAGCAAGCCGACGATCCCCGCAGGATGGATCCGATCCATTATGCTCAATCCGCAGATCCGATCCGCAGATCCGATCCATTTACTTTATCTGCAGTTTTGTTGCGATTTCAGACATAGAATATAATGGAAATGGAACTGCAAATTGCAAGTCTTCAGAAATTGCGCTGAAATTGCACACAAATCGCAAAAAGGTACCATTTACATAGTTGATTTATTGCTGTTGAATTATTAGTCTATCGCACCCCCTAAAGAACAGCTGGTGAATTGAGTCCTATTTCCTCCTTAGAGCACACAAAGCCAGGCACACAGCATTTTCAGCACTCTCCCACTGGCTCCAAAGAACAGTCTAGAGCAGGGTTTTTTATTGGGTTCGATCGAACCCCAGGGTTGGTGAGGAATAGGGAGCATGAGATGACC